AAACTAGATACATTCCAATTAAAAAGATACATCTATATTAGACATAATCCAATTAAACTAAATACTTAGATGAATAATTATGCAGCCCAATTAATTAGTTAAAGCATACACAAATCCCATCCATCATTACAATTGTAAGTGCAAAACTCTCAAATTGATGAAGTGTTGAACAAATGTTGTAGAACCATATTCATCGATTGTCCATTACAATCGAGTAGACAATAAAATTTAGATCTTAATTCCAGTTCACACATATCCCTTTTACTAATAATCTTCTTGAATTTTGACTATATTTTCAAGTCAATTTATCCAAATTGTCTTATCTTTGATAATTGTTAGCTATATTTTATTGTTAGTTGCGTTTTTTTGTTTAAATTCGTGCCGAGCTTCCTTAAATTTTTAGCGGACAATATTTTTTGTTTATTTGCGTCTCAATTTTTTGGTCAGGTCACTCAATTAATTATTACATTTCACTTAGTTTCCACCGTTAATTGTTAGAATGATTTGATAGATTATTTAAATGTTTGTTTTGAAGATTTTACCATTAAGTCTTTTGAAATACTACTTTGGTGAAAATTTAATGCAAATAAATACAACATTATCCCTCAAATTGCTAAAAATGTGCTAGCTATTTAAATATCCATAAATGATTGAATTTGTGTTCCCTAGTAGTGGTTGAATTCTTGATTCCTTTAAAAGGTCGTTGAGTGCTATTATGGTTGAGGTGATAATTTTCCCTAAAAATTGGTTGCATATTAGCAATGAACCAATAATGATTTGTTAAATTTGGATGAGGTAGAAGCATTTGACAATTTATAAAAAGTTATATAATGTATTATCGTATTTAATATTTATATTCATTTTCTTTTATTAATTATTTTATATCATTTAACTATAATCAATGAATTCGTGTGCTATATTATTATCTTTATGAAAAGAACGAATCATATATTACAATTGAAAAAGTTGTGCCAATTAGTAACGACAAATATTTTAAAATATTTCCATTATGTTGTTGTATTATAATGCTTAGAATTATAGAATTTGGTTTGAAATATTTTTAATAACATTATTTACGTTTTAACGTGAGATTTTAGACTAATATTTATGATTTAACTTACTTGATATAATTTTTTTCTTTCTTGTCTAACCGTGGTTTTAAACCGAATCAATCAAATAAAAAAAAGGTTTGGATTGAGTTGGCTTCATTTATAAATTGAAGTGATTTGATTTAATTTGAAAAATTCTAAATCGCTTTAAGTGATTGGGTTTGAAAATTTGTCATAAACCATCCAAATCGAACTTTGTTCACCCTTAACATATCTAGTTGCTATGATAGAGAAGATGTTAATACTAGTGAATTCACATGTTTGCACATGGGCATTGACTTAACATTGATGGCGGATATATGGTAGAGTTGATGTTGATATACAAATGAGCTCTCTGAAAAGTCAAGCAAAGGAGTTGCATTATAATATTTTAACGGGTTTATTTCAAATGAGCCAATGGAATTTTAGTTATTAATTGGGAAAAAGCCAAAGTACAAGAAATTCTTAACATAATTCATATATATGCTATCATGGCAACAGCTGATTTGTCTTTTATTTTTTTTACCACTCTCCAATGAATCATCGCCATGTGATGCTTGTCAAAATTTTCTATACTCATACCATGATTGTATTGATCATAAGTGATTAAAATCATATGGTGGAAAATCTGCTTTGAGAATTGAGTTTGTTAATGCTTACTGTTCTTTTTTAAGTATTGGGATAAAACGCTGCAGAAGAGATGGTAGGGTTTTGACTCGTTTTTTGACAATGTGAAGATTGGCGGAATCTTGCCTCAAAAATTTCAACTTAAAAGGAATTCCAATTGCAAATTAGATATTGAATTGAAATTATGATAATTACCATTCATTACTTGCTATTGTGCGATTTGTATTGCAAATATACAATGTCATTTTATATGTAATGAAGTGAAGAGTCCGAATAATTGCGTTCAGGAGAACTATCTATATAAGTATTAGTTAAACTATATATATCTTCAATTCAAATAAATCCAATTAAGAGTGATTTTTAATTGTAATCCTAAAAATTATCAATCTATTAAAGCAATAAAAAGTGCACAAGAATTAATTTAGGGTTTCTACTCATGTATATATGTATAGTATTAGGATTTGTGATTTCACCATTGTCCCCTTTAATTTCATTTCTTAAGTGCGATTCCTAAAGTTGCATTCAGTCAAATTCACAAATTAAATTAAGAGTGCATTTGATTACAAGTATGAAAAGAAAATAAATTCTAGACAATTGAATTGCCTATGAATTATTTGCATGAAAAAAATTGTCAATTAAATGTATTTGATTGATTTTATTTCAACCTAGAAAATGAAAACACTTGTCCATTTTTTATCGATAGGTGAATGGAAGAGAGAGGGGTAGATGAAAGAGAAAGAGATAGTGAATTAACTAAAAAATAAACCCCCTAAATAAAATATTTTCCATGTTTTCAAGGAGGATATAAGGACAATGTGGTCACGTAATCAAAAATAGAAAAATATCAATCAAAATGTACAAAAGTAAGAATTTGAATGGAAAAACAACATTTTCCATTAACATTCAGGGTCTTGCACTCGGTCCCTTTATGATCAAATTCATTCGTCAATTCAAACTACTTTGGTTTCAACTAATATAACAGAGAAAAATAAAATAGCTAAAGGTGCTGAATATTGGACTTATATAAATCTAGTACAATATTCTAACCCAAAGAAAAAGGGATAAAGAAAGAAAAGAACCACTAGTAATTTCCTGGATTCATGACACACAGCACGAGTAGATTAAAGAGTTTTTTTTTTTCATAGGTTTATTATTGTTTATTAATTATATTTTTTTAACTTTTAGCCAATTGAAAGGCTAAAAAAGCATAAAATGTGCATACTTACAGAGGATTTTGGAAAATTTTAGGAAGCAATTTCTTGTAATGCTTGAAAGGAAATATAAGCAAATGATACACCGATTCAACAGTTACAAACAAAGTTGCCGACCATGCACAAATTCAATAGCTTCTGAATCAGCATTCCACCAAATTTAAGCTAGACAAATCCATGGAAATTTCTTTCAAAATTTGCGATAGATCGCTGAATCTATGGGAAATCCGCTGATAGATTTGAAGGACGACTTATGTAGACAAGAAAATCGAAGGATGTTAAGAATGTCCTAGAGATGGCGTATGATCTTAACCAAACCTAAGAGAATCCAATCAAAGCCAAAAACCATACAAATCTGTGGAGGTTTCTTGCCACTCACAAAATAATCGAAGGCTATATTAAATCTACGAAAAAAATGAGCAAAACATAAAGGATGAATCGCACGAATGAACAAAGACCCAAGGAAACCTAAACGCATCCAGAAATTTAAACCAAAAAAAAAAAAAACCCTAAAATTTATAAACTCTATGAGAAAAATCTGAAGACCCCAACACACAGTCTTCGTATTCTCGAAATGATATACATAAAAGCACAGGCAAAAGAGATTTTTACCTTTCTTGGGTTTGATTTGGTGTGTGGAGAAAGGAGCTGATCAAAAAGCACGAGAACATGTGAGGAGAGAGCAAAATGCACTTTATAAGGAAGATATTTTGATGAACAGTGGAAGCTAGTTAGTGAATAATGCGAAAACCGGATGCGAACACGGCAGCAGAAAAATGAGTGGTGAACAGTATTCTGAGTGGGGAAACTCACTAATGAACAGTATTGTGAGATTCTCTCTTTTAATGTAAAGGGGATATATAAAACCAAAAACGAGGGTTATAGATTTTCTACAGAATCTTATTGCAAATAAAGAAAATCAAATTCACAACTTGTATACAAAAGGGAGACAAAAAGAAAACAAATTCTAATGCTATTTTCATGCAATAAACCACAAGCATAAAAAAATACACCACAGAGTATTTAAACATGTCATTGAACGCTCAGATGTGTACTTCAACTAAAAAGGTTGGAGTTCATTGTGCCACCATTCTGCAACTCGGCTTTATGTCGTCAGTTCCTTATCTTTCATCCATCGGGCAAGAATTGCAGCTATATCACTTTGGGAAAAAAAAACAAGGATACAATAAAAAGACTAATGATGAAACATCTCCACTGAGTATTTTAATTCTCTTGACATGCATTCTATATCAGTATAATAGGAACACTTCCCCGTCTGACCTACCCAAACCAAAGAAAATGGTGCTTGCTCTCCCACACCATAGAAAGAAAAATGATACCCTGTTTACCACTATTGTGTTATCTATCTCATGATTACCAAAGATGATAACAAATATGCCATCCAATTGCATATGAAAAGTACGTCTATTTTATGCATGACAAATTGATAATGTTAAGTCTGTGCTTTCATAATCAATAAGCACCATGTGTGGTAAAATATTTGAGAGTAGATCCACTACCTCAAGATGGCAAGGACCTAGGGGACAAAATATGATGGAAAGGCTAGAAATTCAAATCAAGGAGTTTTTAACCGGGTAGAATACCTGGATTCAATTCTCATAATGCTGACTTACTCACCAAAACCAACATATCAGTCAATGAACCTAAAAAATTAAACAGTTCAAGCAACATGGTACGAGAGGGAACACTTGAGAGCAGATCATAGTTCATTAATGTTTACAGGGCTGATTATTGGTTGAAATTCTCTCGAAAGTCTAAAAGAGTAACAACTACGAACTGGAATAGATTTAAGGAGATCTCAAACAAGTATACACTACTTCAACCCATATTCTGAAAAATAAATTATATCATTTTGCTCATCAGCTTGTCGGTAGAGTTCTGTACAACTAAAGGTGCATGAAATCAGACAGATTTCTAGAGAAATTGAGACTTGAGTTGGATCGAGATGTGATGATATCAGAAGCTTGTGAACTTTCTTAAGCTCAAATTGAGGAGAAGGCTTTAACAGCTCATCAGTTCGGGTAATGAATTGTTAATGCACAATAAAATGGATGCCTACTGAAACATAGTCAAGCAAGGACCAAAGTCAAGAATGGAACTAGGATTGGATGATCAAAAACAAACTTTAACATCCCAAAGATTTGATCATAGTTCAAGACAACATCATTTTAACCCTAGATATTAATACTAGAGAATAAATATGCCTGTCTTCTGCAAATCCAAATGGTTGATTTTTGTAAGCCTTGGAAACTAATGTCACTAGTGTCTAGTGGCTATTACAGGAGATCACAGGCCTACAATATTAACAATTTGGGCTGGAATAATAACTTGGGTGCGAGAAAATAAGGGTATTCAGTCTTTCCGATATGATTATTGAAGCCAGAAACAATTCAACTGGGATGAGCTGAGCATGTCACTAATGAGGCTCAGTTCGATGGATAGGTCACCAATTCAACTGGGATGAGCATGTAATTAATGAGCCTCAGTTCAATGGATAGGTCATTGACAAGGCTCAGGGAGACCATATGTAATACCTTAATCAAAAAAAGAAAAAGAAAAGAAAAGTCAAACAAAAAAAACAATTAAAAAATTTGAATTGGCAGGCGGTGGATAGCCACCAAATTCATTCCAATCCATTTCTGTGTGTGTGTGTGTGTAAATAAACCCACTACACACCAAAAACACACACAAAATGCACAGGAAATGAGAGCAGGGAGAAAAAGGAAGAGAAAAGAGAGGGAAGGGGGGGGGGGGGGGGGGGGGGGGGGGGGAAGGAAAGAAAAAAAAAAAAAAAAAAGAAGAAGGAAAGTTCGCCTATGTTGTTAGAAAATAAGTGGTTCACACTATTAGGCTTGAATTCCTCAATTTTGAAAGGTAGGTAAAAAGTTACTTATTGTCAAGTTATGTTTGATTTTATAGTTGTTAGATTGTTAGATTAAATTCAGTTAGATCGTTAGATTAAATTCAATTTCATTGAAGGGGTTAAGTATAATAAACTATGAAATTGAGTAAAGTGAAAGAAAAACTAGTTTTAATTATTAAAGAGATTGTAGAAATTGCCTAAACGTGAAATGATTAAGTTTGTGTATCACCTATTTAATTATTGAAATTATTTATAATAATTAATTGTTCATTTAAAAACATATTTCAGGCGATGATACTAACATCAGAACAGCTTATCAACCAGGTTAATTTTGCGAACATAGTACTGTGAGTGAAAAAATATAAATATTTTTAAAGTATTTATAAATTAAGTTTATTGTTTAAGTATGTACAATTATATGCAATTATGTGTACAATTATATGCAATTATGTGTTCGAATTACATGGTTATTATGATACATGTGAGATTTCAAAGATTGTATACATTACATTGTGAATTGGAATATAAGATATGATTTTGAGATCGATCAGAAAAGTACCCTTGATTATATATTTCTTCTAGTTCACTGAGGGGCATTAGCCGTGTCCTATACTACACTGAGGGTTCTTGGACCGGAGATAAAGGAGTCTGACCGTGCACATATAGTACACTGAGGGGCCTTGGTCGTGTTCTAGAATTGATTATGAGAGGTCTTTCAGACCGACTTTCGTTCACGGAAGGTCCAAAGGCCCGTGACGAAAGTTCTTAGCCCGAGAGGCGGATTATATATTTCAGTCAGAGGGTACATTTTTTGTGAATTTTTCAACACGTTTGATGTGATGAGATTATAGCATGGTTATCAACTGATATTTATATCATGATTTTGAGATGATATTTTACGACCTTATGTGAATATTTCACTTTTGGTTATAATTACATGATGTTATCTTGTGAATTACTAAATGATATGAACTCGATTTTCGAAAGAAATGTAAAATTAAAAAAAATAATTATTTTCGAACTTCTCCACTCACTGAACTATCAACTCATAAATTTTCATACGATTTTTCCTACAGGTAGCAATTGATTCTTTTTAGTTGGAAGAGACTAATGATTTTGGAATGAGAGTCACACGACATGTTGAATATTATAACTCATATTGATGAAGTAGGAAGTAAATATTTTGGGCCCATCGCATTATATTTCATATAAGCATTTGATTTTGTTGCATTTTTTTTAAAAATAACTCATTGTCAGTCTTGGTGATAGATTTGACATCAAGTCAGCATCTATTATCGACGCACGTCACGTTTTGGGTTCACTAGGGTGATTCGGGACGGGTCGTGTCACCATATGTGACGAAGTGTGATTATGTAGCCTGCATATACAAAGCATGCCATTCTATATGAACTCATACGTTAGTAAATGACATCTATTCATTCATGACATGTTCATGCATTTACATGGTTCAGAAATAGCAGCACGATAAAGCTCAATTATTGTATTAATTTATTATATGAGAAATGTTCTCATGCCCTTCACTATAGCACCTAAGGCACAATGACGTGTATGTGACATGTTATAATGTGATCATAGAAGGTGAAGGGAAATTCTCTTGTGAGGATGTTGATTGGAGAGACTATATGATGATGCTGGAATTTCATACAGTGCAACACCAGAGACTCTCTACGGACAATATAACGTGGGTAGCATACTTGAGAGATTACATAGGTGATATAGGAGGCTCTGTAGTGATAACAGGGATTGAGGGTTGACTAAGAACTCGAGTAGGGCCAATTGTGATAAAGCTAAGATGGTTCATAATTCTAGTTCATAAATAGTAGAAGAGTAAATGAGGCCTAAAAGAAAGAGATGATACCATCAAGTTGTTAGATATGATGAACAAAATATTATTCATAATATTGAGATAAATACCTTTTTTAAGGTTTTAGGATGTACATTAGAGAACATTCATATGCATTTTGCATTCATGCATGCCTTTGCTTATTGAATCATTAGCTCACTTAGTCTCACATACGTTAATATTTAAGCCTTGCAGCAAGTCAAGGGCTCCAAAAAACTTGGTGATTTGTGGTAGTCGAACTCCCAAGGATCTCAAAGCTTTGTGTACACAAGAATATCCTATTGAAGTTTTTTGTTGTCCTATTTTAGGTTTTGTAAATCTGTTCCGTAAACATAATTCAGCTTAAATGTCTTGATGCAGGAAGCCTAACATTTCATGAGATGGGTATAATCTTTCGAAATGCAAGGTACTTTGAGCTATCTTTAGCCAGAGAGTAAATTGCATCAACAAAGATTGCCGCATGGCTTGCATCTATAATTAGGATTATATGTTTCAAAATCTGTTTAAACTCCTTACGCATTTGAAGACAAGTAGAAAGGCAAGTCTTTAGTAACAAAGGAGAAAAAACATTAAGTAAACTATGTACATAATTTTACTTAAACTTCCTCAGAAGCTGTAAATTGCCAAAAAAATGTACAAGCATCAAAGCACAAAGTGCAAAAGCAAGTCTTTAGCAACAACAAGAGAAAAAAATAACCTAAGTAAAACCACCCAGGCAATTTCACTTGAACTTTATCAAAGACTGTAAATTTCCAGAGCAAGGTACAACCGTCGACCACGAGGTACAATGGCACAAGTTTTTCAGCCATTAAAAGTACAAAAAAAATTAAAAAGAAAATACAATTGGTTTCCATATACTTACATGGAGAAGTGGGAGAAGAGAAGAGAAGAGTGAGAAATATGGAGAATGGAAGGGGCATTGAAACGATGCTAAAATCAGGGGAAATTGCTGAATGGATAAAGAGGGGTCATACTGAATTGTTGACGGAGGAGACAATTGAGAATAGAAAAAGAATTGTGGCGTTGAAGATTTGGAGTGTAAAGAGGAGCGGCCATTGATCAAAATCTGAAGCACAATCTCTGCATTTCGTAGTCTCCATGAAAGGGAGTGGACTGTTGAGCTTGAAATGAGTAACTTTTTATTTGGGGGATGAATTGATCAGTGAAATAGATAAAAATAATAATTTATTTAATAATATTAGATTTATTTATAATTTAATTCTATAAAATGTTAAAATAAATTCAGCGAGTGTTTGATTAGATATGTGAAATTTACATGAAAAGAAAATAAATTCTAGTAATTTAATTGTCTAAAAATTATTTGCATAAAAATCATCAATTAAATGTGTTTAATTGATTTTATTTTCAATCTAGAAAATATTACACTTGTCGATTTTTTATTGGTAGATGGATAGGAAAGAAAGGAAGTAGATGAAAGTGAATTATCTAAAAAATAATAAGAATGCATTTAATTGTAAGCATGAAATTTGCATTAAAAAAAAAATTGCCTAGAATTTGTTTGCATGTGTTTGATTAATTTAATTTTCAATTTAAAAAATATTATACTTGTCTAATTTTTATTGGTGAGTAGATGAACGAGAGAGAAAAAGAGTGAATTTCCTGAAATATAAAATTCTACTCTCCATAAAGAAAATATTTTCCTTATTTTGAGGAAAATATAGTCACGTGACCAAAAGTAAGAAAATGTTTTCCATAGAAAAATATGTCAATCAAATAGCATAAAAATAGGAATTTAGGTGGAAAAACACAAATTTTTCATGGAAAATATTCACAATTAAACGCACCCTAACTTACTCCTCTAAAGAACATCAAGGAAAATATAGTCATCTGACCAAAAGTAGGAAAATACTTTTCATAAAAAAAATCAATCAAACAGCACAAAAGTAGGAATTTAAGTGAAAAATGACGTTTTTCTATAAAAAAATATTGACAAGCAAATGCATTTAAAGAAAAATCCGCAAGTGCTCATCTACTAAGTAAAAACTCCAACTTTCCTGGTTAATATTGTCAAGTTCATGCCAGTAAAGAAGGCAAGTGGGGAGATGGAATTTAGCTTTAAATCATTATTGTAGAGTTTTATACAATACACACATACAATACAATACTAGTTTACAATACAAGAGTCCCAGCAGGGGATGTGGAAACACTGTATTACAGTACACAGCACACCATTAATGAGTAAGTCTAAGTCCTAGTAGCAGGATATAAACAAAACTGACCAGAATAGCACACACGATTAGAAAGACGTGGTCGGTGGTGTCCTTGTTTGGAACATGGGAAGAGTGAGACGGTTGTTCATGTTCATGTTCCCCATGCTCTGTAAGCTGCCGCTGGTAGTGATAGTGGTAGTGTTGGTGGTGGTGGCGGCAGCGGCGGGGGTGATGAAAATCTGGATTGCCATTTCCCTCTCTCTCGAGGGTTTCATTTGACTTGAATTTGACATTTTGGTCTCAAATGTATCATGTTTGGATCTGTACAATGGTGTATAAGTGGTGGTTGTCTTCCTGCGTTAATTTCACAACTAGGTTGAGCAAAATGAGCATTAATTAAGGTGATGACTAGTATGCAGTACTGAAGTGCAACTCTGCATCCTATAAGGAATTTCAGATTATACCAATGGCAATTTGCAGGAATTTCAGATTAAGATTTTACAAGTATTTTACAAAGTAATCCAATTTCAGCAGCTACTATATAACAGACTAAAGCAAAAATCAATTGTTCCGATGAAAAACACTAAACTTAAGCAAAAAGACTTATGAAAGAGAGATGTATTTCATGCATTATACTTCGAGACAGAAACATACCTGATGCCATTTGCTATGCTTTGCGCTTCAGCACGCCCAGGAACGTTTTTGACAAACACGAATAGGCTGCCATGGACAGATATTAATACAGATGAATACCTTATCGCAGAGCAAAGGACAAACCTATCAATTGTATATTTTCCATTGTGCTTTTTCAGCCTTAGGACGGTGATACAGAACAAAGAAAAATTTTATGGACTAAAAACCCCAAATAAGCCTTGTTCTCGAAAACTTGAGATTGGGTAAAATAATCGTTTTTCACCACTTTGTTCGAACTACAACTGTGTGTAAAGAAAAATCCAATGAAAGGAAATCAAAAATCCTTTGACAAAGATGTTATACCATTATTCTACTTACATACAGAAGGTTTTAGTGGGTAAATGAAGTTATGATCTGGTCTCATATAATTACTAGAGATGATGCTCTCAAGAACTGGATGATAAAATTGGCAATTGATGTTGATGTTTCAATTTTCTTACTCTTCTCAATCTCAATTTGTTAAAATTTTCCAGAGTACATTTCTTGAATCCCAATTTGTCAACAATGGAAATCATAAACCTAGAATTGTTTTTATGTTTTCACTAGAGAAAGTGAAAAATGCTACCTCTCTGGTGACGCCGCTGCTTTGCTCTGAATAAAAGCATCTGTATCGTTATCCTGGTGCAAACCATTTTCCACCCTACAGTTTGCACTAGAAATATTTTGACAAGAATTCATTAGTTATAAGATAGAGGCAATGGCGGAGCCCTAAGCGGCAGCAGGAAATGAAAGAAAATAAAAATATGGTCCATAAATAAATAAATAAATAACGTCAACAAAAAGAATTAAAAAAAAATGAGTACCCATTTGATGGATTCACTTCTATTTACTTCACAGAATGGTCACCCTCAGTTCGAGGACTTTTTTCTTTCCTCTTTATTTTGTCAAAAAATGATTCAGTAAACTTATATAGCTTGTAACATCTACAAGCTTGGATACATCATTACGCCAATAATCTGCATCTCTTGTAATTTATACTTTCTTTCAACCAACTTAGTCCTTCCGACTCTGTTGACTAATTCTGAACACAAATCAGTAACTGACACATCAGTGTTCTAGTTTGCGGGCTAAGAACTTGACACAAAGTTTGACAACTCCCACAAGTTTTTACCCAAAACGAAAATGATCACATGTCGAAGATTGGAGATAAGTATATACCTCAGAGATGACCTCTTGCTTGAATTAACTATGGCCTCAGGGATCACTGCAACATCACTACGCTGGTCGCGCACCCTATATAGAAGGCAGACATCAATAGCATCATATAGATGCAAGACCACAGAAATAATAACAAAGTATCAACACTAATATTTCGAAAGTTTTAACATTTTGAAAGTAATCCCTGCCTTACAGCTAAATTAATATCTTGTTCAATAAGAAAAGTTAACATATTTGAGCATGTTTCGAATAAAAATTCACTTAAAAGTAGGGCTGTAAGCAAAAACCGCAAAACCAGAAAATCGAACCGAAACCGCATTTTAGAAACCGTCGGTTTAGTGCCACGTGGACCCGGTCAACAAAATGGTTTTGACCCAAACCAAACCGGTCAAAATGGTTTGGTTTAGGTTTGAGAATTTTAATTACGGTTTAAAATCAAACCGGACCGGTGAAAAAATATATAAAAATAAAAAAATGAAAATTTTTGAAAATTCATCCAAATATGTAAAATTCAATAGTTTTGTCATTTGTGGGTATTTTTGTCAATTCCTAATTTTCTAATACAGATATATTATTATTATTATTATTATTATTATCATCATCATCATCATCCAATAATCCTAATATATATTTAATAATTTTAAGACTAACATAATCTATCAAAAACATTTTTCCTCTTCAAAATTTAGATGAACTCTAGTCGACACCCAACACAGTTTTGAGCCACCGGCACCACACACTTCTTTTCAGATTTTTCACGCATATTCAAAGTCGAATTGAAGTCTATTATACCAAATCGAAGACAAAGAGATTCTAGACCTTCGGTGATAATATTTGCTACAAATAAAGTTTCAGATCAATAATTTTTTGGAGCAAACTAAGGTAAGAATTTGAAATTAAATGTGTTTCATAACATCATACAAACGTAAACTTGTGTAATTGTTATGTTTAGATACTATAAACAATTGCTTTATTATTGTAGTTGGTTATTCTTTTTGTTTAATCAATATCTTTTTTTCAGATATAATAATCACGAGGTCTTGTTGGACATCATTATTTTTTTGACCTTATATCTAGTTTAGTAGACTTATATTGTAACGTTATTTTATCGTCATTAACCTAAAAAGGTGAACAAAAATGAAAAAAAACTGTGTTTTAGTTTATTGTGATTTCACTTTGATTTAGTTAATATTTAAATTTATAGTAGATATATTTAGTCTCTGTTTGAGCCATATTTTTCATATCATCATAATAAGAAAATTGACTATTGGAGAGGAGGTTGGGTCCCACACATGAAATAGCAGGTTAACAAAGGCGGCTGGACTTGTAGAATAACAATCCAAATTTTCATTTTTTTGTCCCAAAAATTTGATTCAAACAGGGGCTTAGTTTGTTTTAGATTTATTACTAGTGAGATATAAATATATATTAAATTCAATGAATTAATGACATAAAAGTAGACGGGCAAAAAATATATGGGGAAACCGACGGTTTAAAACCGGACCAAACCGTTAGGTTTAGGTTTGAGTTTTTTTCAAACCGTTCAAAATGGTTTGATTTAGGTTTGGGTTTTTCTCAAACCGTTTTAACGGTTTTGTTTGAAAATTTGTCAAAAACCGGTAAAACCGGACCGCTTACACCCCTACTTAAAAGTACGTTCAACATGTATGTTTAGCCAAAAATACGATTTCTTTAAGCTGTCTTTGGCTTCTATCTGCAGGGATTTTGGAGCTTTCTCTGCTTTGATGTCCTTTTGTCTATTCAATAAACTTTCGAGTTTGCGGCAGTGTGCAGAGTTCGATTCCCCGCAAGGTGGAATTGGCTTTGTTGCAAGCGAGAGTTACCATATGGGTTAACAGCCTTGACCTATCCATATGCTCTCCACCCTGACTCCTGGGAGGCACATCCTGCGATTTACCTCCTCCACGATGGCTCAGAGCAGGATCGGTGGGGACCCCAAGGTTGGGGTTCAACCTTTTAATAAACTTTCGAGTTTAACTCGTAAATTCCAAGGTAAAAAATAAAAAAACTACCCAATTGTGTATATATATCGTTTGAGAAGATTCCACAAGTGCAACTGCAATTAGAGCATCTTTTCTTCTACCCAAAATGATATTCCTTCCCAACAAAAATCCAATATTCCAACCGTAAATCAGAAAATAAATTTAATAATAATAATAATAATAATAATAATGGTAAAAACAATAATCACCTCATAGAACCCGAGAGTCATAAAAAGAACCTGAGGCGGAGAATTATGTCAATATTCTTTTCCTTAATTCCTTCAGCAATGAGTAAAAGTTTTCCTTTTTCATTTATCCGAAATTTGAACAAAATCTGCACATGTTCGAAGAAGTTTCCAGGTTCTAGTGCCATCCCCGTTAAGTTCTGGTTGATCAGAACCTTAATCAACCAGCTTGTTGATTGGCGAGTGGAGACGGCGACAAATGTTGACGATTTTAGACAAATTAACCAGCTGCCGTCCGCCTGGCCCCAGGCTAGGAATCGGGCAAGTAACTGCCTTCTTCAACCAAAAAATCAATGGAATGAACAGTCTCATTCCGAAGTACCGTGACAAGAGGAAGAGCTGAGTCCATTAACTATTCAGGAATTTTATCGAAAAAAATGTTTGCAAAAACTCCAGAACACTTGTACAGCATCATTTTCACCACATAAGAAATGGTTCTTACGAAACCCAAACAGAATTAAACATTCTCAATGAGATTCGACAAGAAAAATGAAGGGAAGAAGGTAAGGAAACGAGAGGGTAGTGAAGAAGAAGGTGACGATGAATCAGTGCAATTGAGCAAAGGGAGAAGGAGGAGAGCGTATAAAATTAAGCAAAAATATTGGTTTTGTGGAATAATGGAGGGGTTCTGCTCCTTGGTTCACGCATCAAATCAATGACCCACCTTGACTTTTTCCATTTTTTAAGGGTCCTCCATCGCACTTTTCCTAAAGTATCGTGAGGGAGGTAAATCGCAAGTAATGCCTCCAAAGGTAGAGGGTGAAAAGTTGCTTGTACATTTATACTTACCCAAGAGCTAAATTCATATTTCAGAATTCGAACCCTTGACGCATCAGCCTCACGCAAAGCTGAATTTCTCCACCCTCCCCTTTTACCATTTGGAGATGTGCCATGGGGGTGACTTTTTCCATTTTCCCCATTCCTAAGTTTGGTGACTGGTGCCGACGCAAGTCTGGCTACGGATAAATATTTGTAACTTTCTAGTTTATACTTATTTATATTGGTACAATCTCGAAATTAAGTTGAAAATTGATTATAATTAGACAAATTAAATAATGGTATAGAAGTTATCAAATAAAATAAAACAAGCTCAATAAAAAAATGACTATATAATTGGAACAAAAAAATAAGAAAAGTAAGCCTATATAAATAGGACACAGGGAGTATATTTTATAAGTAAATAAATAAATTTTTTAATTTTTTTTTAATTGTAAAAATTCGAAATAGGTCCTTACTTCTTTTGCAAAGTAACTAAGTAGCATTGAAATAAATAATCTACTTAAAAGTAAAAAAAAAAACATATTCATATATATTTCGAAACAAAAAGTCATTTATAAATAAAATTAAGCCTCTGTTTGGTAAAATTTAAATTCAAGTTAAAATCAATAATTAATTTTAATTACACGTTTTTATTGTACCTACAATTTTTCAATCGTAGATTTCATCAACTTTTAGTAAAATCTACTAAAAATTTGATTTTAATCCCTGACTAACTTTTAATGCTTTGTTTATAATTTTCGAAAGTTCAAACAAGAAAACGTCACCCGTTTTTTACAACATATTTTTGGTGCCATTCGGTGAGATCTTACTCCAAAACAATTTCTAAAATTCTTTTTTTTTTTCCTTTTTTTATCTATATGGGTCATGCAAGAAAATTTATAAAGCCTCATTGACCTATTCATTATGTTAGAATGTTTACCAAATTCTAATTCGCATGAACTAATTCTTTGTCACTGACTAAGCCTCAATTTAGAAAATTTAAAAATGATTTATAAAGATTAATAGTAAAATAAACAATGGTGAGTTTAACAAAATGTATGATTAATAACAAGAAAACGAAACTAATTTTTTACTTTAACGGAATAAATAAAGATATTTATAAATATATCCAAATGGAGGCTAAGTGAGAATGTACTTTAAATCATCGTTTGTCAAATTTTCAAGTATCTTGTGAATAAACTTAGCCCCTCATTTGAGCACAGTTAAAAATAGATTTTGGAGGAAATTTATTTTGAAATAGTGATTTTTTGACAAATGCATTATTAAAAAATAAGGAAAGAATTTGTATTTATGTATAATATTAATTTGTTAGTGAATGTATGGCTGAAAATAAGAAAGAGAAAAACATAATAAAGTAGAAAAGTCAATACACTTGTGTGTATTTCATTGAAAACCAAAAATCCGTATTTATAGGGAAGAATTGAGACTGCAGTGGATATAACAGTCATAATAACTAGAGTTTTAAGTATATAATGGTCATTCGTCAATAAATATATAATTTATAATACTTCCTCTTGAATGATATATTACAAAATATCTACCTCATTTAACCTTGTTTGATAAAAATTCATTGGGGAAAAAATATCAATTGAATAAAAAAAAAAGTGTATAATTAATTTTAAAATATTAAAAATAAATGTCGACTCATTAAAACCTTGTCAAAAAAATTTAAGGGTGTAAAACCTAAGCGAAAGAAAAAGAGTATAGCTACTCTTTTAACATTGATCACTGAAAATAATTGAGACGATGCATTTTAATCTTGTGAACCAATTTCTTGAATGGAGATGTCAACAACACTTTTGTGAATAAATTAGTTACATTGTCACTTAAATAAATTTGTTGAACGACAATATCACAATTCTTCTGAAACTCATGCATATAGAAGAATTTTGAAAAAAATAAGTTTTTTCATCTCTCCTTTGATATAGTTTTATTGGAGTTGTGCAATATAAATTGCATTATCTTCATACAAAATTGGTAGATTGTCTTTTGTTGAAACTAATCAGCATAATGTTATGATATGATGTGACTAGTTTTTCAATCATACACAATCTTGACCTGCCTTATGGATCGCAATAATTTTAGAATGATTTGAAGATGTTACTGTCAAGATTTGTGATATATAATCTGTATCTGCATATTTCACTAAAACAGATTCCGACCTTGAAAAATAAAAATAATCTCAAATCAATATATCTCTACATTTTATCCAATAATCGAACTTTACTACATGGTCTAAATTTATAATAATTTACCTCTCGTTTAGTTAAAAATCCACAATAAAGAACTAAAGTAAAATCAACATATGAAAGAATTAAAATCAAGAATATTAAGAATTAAAATTAAAGGTTCATAACTAGATTTCATCATTTATCCCAACTTTAGATTTAGTTACACGTGATGACAGAAGAAAAATTCAAGAAACGATTGGAGTACATCACCAAGGATGAAAAACTAGGCAAAATAGTGATATTGTAGAATCTCCTTTCCCAAGCCAAATCTTCAAAACCCTAGTTTTTCTATATTTTCTCGAGTTTTTCTCCTATTCTTTCTAATTTTCTCTACTCTTCAAAATCGTGCATCCAAAAGGAGTCAAAAGGGTCAAGAAAAGTGGGGGGAAAAAAAAAGGTAGACCAAACCACGATCCACTGCAGTAAGCAACCGTGATGTACAACAACAAACAAAGACCATGAACTTTCCAGCTTGTGCGGATTGGTCCCCACTTCCAGATTTTCGTATGAGTTTGATATTTTTTCCTTCTAGTTTTTAACTTTTGGAAGCTTCCATATTCGTCCCCTAACCTCCATAATCATCAAAAATTGGTCTGTCTTTAGTTATTAACTTTTGTACTTTAGTCATCTAACTTTTGATAAGTTGAATATCAATCCTGAAACTTGATATTTTCTTTCGATTACTTTCTTAGTACTTCTTATCAATCATGTGCAATTCGATTAGTCTTTAATTGCTCTCAACCAATTCTAAATTAGCTCAAAATTATTCCTTTTCGTTCCAATTGCATTCAAGTTTGGGTTTTACATACACTTAACAAAATTACATTAAATTGGATAAAAGTTCGCTCAAATAACAATTACTTATCAAGTTTAATAGCATGAATAAGTGTGTAAAACACCTTATCACCTCCCATGTGGAGATAGAAAAAGATTCCATTGTCAATTGGTAGAACATTTGTCAACCAAAATTAGTTCATGTACACAGTCAATATTTTCTAAATATTCAATTCGACATTGAAATTTTCTACTTTTGCTTTGCGTTAAAGATATTTGTGTACGATGTAATTTTTGGTTTTCATTTGTGAAGCAAACACGAGTTAGAGTAATAATATGTCATCACAATTCATTGAGTCGTGTGTGATAATCGAGAAATAACCAATAATTTGTTCCAAACGCTCCAAGTATATTATTTAATAAAAAATAACCAAGTTTACATTGAAACCATAAGTCCCTATTCGAACAAAGAAATCCTAGAAACGTAAAAAGAAGCTAATTACTACTTTGCCCTCACTCAATAAATGAAGCTAGAGGCTAATCAGTGTTGAAAGAGGATGTGAGGATACACGAGGCAACAGACAACTGACATTTTGAGCGAGGGTACTATCGATTTTGGAAAGAAGAATGATTTAGTGCAATATTATTAATACTAGTGGATTAGGGTGGGATTGGATTTGTGGAACAAAGAGCATGATGCATAGAATTTAGGTAATGTCATTTATTTTGTTGTTAAAGGAGTTAACGCTATCAATTTTCACGTAGGATTGAAGTGGTCAATTAAATTAGGTATGGATGGGGAACATATTAGAAGTCAGGTGTGGATTATGAAAAAATGTAAATTTGGATACACATAAGAAATCTCTAGTTAAATTAGATATAGATGAGAAATATATTTAAAGTTCGAGTATGTGATCGTTTGATTATTCACAAGTGAGATCGTGAACAAGTAATATAGTAATGTGTAGAGTGTCGAACTCATGAAGACTCTGTGTTTTGATCGAATTAAAACTAACACAACCCTTAATCGAATGGCAAAATCGAGTAATAACTAAACAGTATTAAATCTATCAATTAACTTAAAAGCAATGTAAAGAAAATTTATCAAATTCGCAAGAAATATTGCTAAGATGTAGAATTTATCTTGTTAATCCATTTTTAGTTAAACAATTTAAATTGACAATTTGAAATTATGCTTGTTGGTCAATGTTCCTATTTTACTTGAAAACCTTTTTCGATAATTATCAAATCTATCCCCCTCATGTGATTTTCATATCTCACAATGAAAGACGCTAACATGATAAATGTATTAAATAAGTTAGAACATTTTATAAAAATTATATGAAGCATAGAGGTATATTTGCATCCTCTATCGAACCTTACAATGCTTTTCACTACGTGCTATTGATCCCATTATTTCTCTAGATGACAATAAAATCCATAAACAATTCAATTATTAGCCAAATAATTGAAAAACAAATTAAACCATAATAAACATCCAAACAATTAAACAAATTATCGTCAATTTAATTATTCAAACCAAAAATTTCATAAAAAGGGTTCATCACATCCTAACAAATGTTGAAATTAAACGAATAAAAGTGGAAGATATCACCCAAAAATCGACGAAACGTGATGAATATCACAATTAAAGCTGTCGTCTTCTCTGTGTGTATATACTGTTCAATTCAATTCCTTTTTATTGTTCCAGCCACCAAATTTGTTTGCATGTCTGTATCACCAAAAACTTTCTCCCATGCACTCGCCGAATTGTAGATGGATGACCCCTCAATTTCTCTCCCTTTTTCTGCCTCTTGCTGTATATATATACTCC